GCAAGGGCTGCGCCCTCTGAATCTATAATTGAAAGTCTGACTGGGTGCGAGACTTCCTCCAGGAGCGTTCAGCACAACCGAGGCATCTTTGCAGGTAGCGTGTTGATTTAGTATGCCACGATTGGTGGCGTGCCCTCCTCGAGGTGCATGTTTGGAGTGGGGCTGCAGTGTTCAAGGCAGAGGTAAGGGTAGTGTTTTATGTGGAGTGGCCAGTGAGGGACAGGAGAGGGAAGGGATGGATAGCAGTTGTAAATCAATATCAGCTGACAGCTGCTGGAGGTCAATAGAATAAAGGTTCCTCCTGAGTTGAGGAAGGCTATCCTGTCTAGTCCGATCACACAGAAGAGCTACTGTAGCTCAGATTGCTGAAGAATGTAATGCTGGCCATGATAGAAATGTGTCAGAACACACAGTTTATAAAAATTTGCTGCCTGTGGGACTGCATGTAATTAATAACTTACAATTATAATACAAATATTTTCAAACTATTGAATCATTTGAAACGTTTATCTAAAAACATTAGGTCGAGGCCTGTGTGCCTTACATTTTCCTACTCCAGCTACATCCATTCAAGAGACATATCTGACACTTATCCACTACATTGTGAATTGTCAAATTCTGTACATGTTTACCAAATAATCTGTACTTTAATCAATCCTTTGTTTTTATTTTCTCTTTATAGGATCAGTGTTTACATGCCTTACAATAGCTCTGGGATTTTACCGCTTGTGGATGTAAAGTATATGTTGAAGACTCTTATTTTTGGCATGACAAATTCAGTGGCATTCCTATATTTTATTTTACTAAGCAACAGCCAAGCAAGGAATTAAAAATGACAACACCCCCATTATCACCACACCTCCAGCGTTGCCTTATTGTCATTTGTATTTCCGTCCAAGCAATTATTTTCTTTTTTGTCTTCTGTACCATCTTTCCTCTTTATTTGTTGGCATCCTTCATAAAAAGTGGGACATTTTTCCATCAGCAGCAGGATATTAATAATTTTCTATTGCCTTCCCAAAATATAATCCTACTTACTATCTTGTTCTTCCCAGTTGTAAATAAAATGTATGCAAACATTTCAAATGTGCAGTGATCTATTTATATGATGCTGTATACCAAAGAGAGAACAATTATATTTGGACTTTTTAAAAAAATTTGCAATTATTTGTTTGGATTTTAATATGAAGATACAACATTGTTATTGATTAGTAAATTGTATGAATTGATTTACAGTATGTATATTTACCATTTCTAAACTTGGCCTTAATTTAATATTTATGAATGAGCTTTCCAAATGATTTTATATTTTTGGATAAACTTTTAACCCCTTAAGGACACATGACGTGTGATGTGTCATGATTCCCTTTTATTCCAGAAGTTTGGTCCTTAAGGGGTTAAAATGATCTTGGCAAGTTAAAATAATATTTAAAAAAAAATATATATATATATATGTATATAGAAACTATATGTATATGCTTTGTTTATATATGTATATATATATATATATCATATTTTAAAATATTACAATATATTCAAAAAAAATAACTATTACAAAATTCAAATATTTATCATCAGTAGATAATTATAGAAGTTTAGCTAAAAATATTAAATCATTTGTCAAGCTTATCAAACAATCTTCAAGCAGCACTGTCATGACACACTTACCTTTCTTCTATTGTTTCTGCTTCTCTTCCTCTCTCAGAATCTGTTCTTTTTTTCTTTATTCATGATCTAGCTTTCTTTAAAAAATAAGACAAAGAAGGGACTACTTTGTCCAATGTATTTTTCCTACGTCTGACTCTCTTTGACCAAAGGAGGAGCTTAAGTCAGCTCCATTTCTTGTGTCTTGGAGAAGGTTGAGTACTTTCTCTGACACAGGAAATGGAGCGGACTTAAGTCCCTCCTTTGGTCAAAGAGTCAAGCATAGGAAAAATACACTAGACAAAGTAGTCCCTACTTTGTCTTCTGTTTTAAAGAAAAGAATTACAGATTCTGACTGAGGTAGAGAAGAGGAAGCGATAGGAGAAAAGTAAGTTTGGCGTGGCAGTGCCGCTTTAAATTGAGGCCTTTATTAGATTTATTTTAAACTGACTTTCCAGCTTCTTGATAGACTACTTTTCTTAATTATACCTTTTATTGAAACACAGAGGGGGTTATGTATAATTAGTCATTTTGGTGCGGGGTTCTAAAAGTGGAGCAGCCGGTAGATACATTGGTTTACTTGGAGACTATTCTACTATAGCCCCAGAATAATTTTTTTATACATCTTATAAAGTATGTATTATGTTTCTCACCGCAAAATGTAGCGCTATATTTGTGAAAGCTGCTCAATGAGCTATGAATTATAATTCATCCTCTGTTGTTTATATTACGTAGCTAAAGTAGGAATATTGAACTCTCATCTGTCAGATGTTGTGGAACTACATATGTTATCTAGCAAGAGGTGAAGGAACATGTGATATCTAGTCAGAGATGAAGAACCAATTCCTGGGTCCCATAACCTGAAAGCTTTGCAGCAAACTCTCAAACTAAAGCTTAATTGATAAACTGTCAAATGTAGATTATCTGACAATTGTTATTACAAGTTATACATTATAAATTATAAACATTATATTAATACAAAAGGCGCATACATTTAGGTATATAAAAAATCCACTAGAGAGATCACTGGAATATTTTAAGTGTTACTCCAATCAAATCAAACAGTGATTTGAAGTGGTCATACTAGTAGGAATATGTATGTGCAGTGTTTCAGCTTCAGTTCACACTGAGTTAACTGCAGAAGTGTGAGGGGGCTAGCACAGTGGTCTTCAACCAGTGGTCTGCGGACTGCCGGTCTGCAATAATGTATTGCCTGTCCGCTAAAGCTTTCACCATCAGGTGAAAGCTTTCGCGGACCGGCAAAACAATTGACACAAAATATTTCCCTGGTGCTATGATCATATGATGAAAGCACCTGGAACTGTGCCTCCCTCTCCCCTGCCAGCTCTGCAGGACCAGAGAGGAGATCAGAGATCTCCCTCACTGGCCCGCTATCAGTGTAATGCTGCAGCCGACAGGGGAGGGAGATAGGACCCCCTGGGAGCTCTAACTTGCAGCTCCTTCGCGTTCTCCTCTCGCAAGGTCAGAGCGTTGCTGGGGTTACCACAGCAACGCCTCAAATCTCACGAGAGTGAACTTCAGCCTGAGCTGCTGAGTTTACTCTCACCACTTGGACCACCAGGGCTTCCCCACGGACAACCAGGGATTAGTACTGTCCCCCCTCCCAGGCAAAGGTAAGCAGGGAGGGGGAAATCAAAATTATTATTTTTATTAATTTTTTTTTTTTTAATTTATTAATCTACCCTCCAACCCCACAGACCCACAATAATTCCCCCCTATACACAAACACACACTGCCCCCTATACAGATACTCTCTGCCCCCATACACACATAGCCCACACACACACATCCCTCACACGTACCATTGGTTTTTATTTCAGGCTGGTCCACAAAATATTTCTCCTCTTTTTGCCGGGCCGCGGTTATTAAAAGGTTGCAGAACACTGGGCTAGCACATGTGACATAGGCAGCCCAGAGCTTCGGGCTGCCATTATCAATTCTGTGCATACAGCACTCTGGCAACAGAATAAAAAATCTTGCCCTTGCAGTGCGTAAGTAAGCTCTCCCACCTTCCCTTCCTATGGGCGCTCCCTCCTGCCTCTAATTGTTCAAGAAATGGCCACTCGTCGGCTTGGTCCAGTCACAGGCTTCACTATGATAAGTTTGTGAATGGACCAAGCATGGCCCTTGTGATGTCAGAGGAGAGGCATAAGTGAGCGTTGGAAGCTTAGACGGCACTGTATTCAAGGGAAGTAGAAAAAAATGTTTATGCAGCTTTTACTACAAATCGAGAAACCCCTAAAGTGGTTCACACCGTTTAAAATGTCTTAGCAGACAAAACATGCTAGTTATGTTAAATATTTAACACGGTTTACTAATCATGTATGTCTTATAATTTATTTGCTGTTATATTACAAGTGACCCACTAAAAGCTTTCATGCTGGTTGCATGGTGTATTATAGTGTATATCAGGGGTAGACGAACTTTGGCATTCCAGATGTTGGGGAGTACAGCTTGGAGGAAAGACGAGACAATAGGGATATGATAGAAACATTTAAATATATAAAGGGAATCAACACAGTAAAGGAGGAGACTATGTTTAAAAGAAGAAAGGGGGGCGGGGCCGGGCAGCCATGCTTGCAGGCTGCAAGTCACCACGGCTCCTGAGGAATTCAGCTAATTTTGGGCAAATACCCACTTAATTCAGCCTGAAACACACTGGAAACTCGTGGAACAAGAGCTCGGAGTGTCCTGGTGCAGCTAGAGCACCTGAAATCGGGTGACTCTGGGTCCCAGTGAGATGCTCTGGGACTTGGGGACTGAGGCCTACCCGGGGGGGGGGGAGTGAAGCGGACGGCCGCTGCCCCACTTTCCACCCCTGACTAAAGAGACCCACAGCGCGGCTGGAGCCCTCCCGGCCCCGTTCACCCCCCCTTTGGACCGGTGGGGGTTATCCCGGTCTCCACCAGGCAAGTAAACACCTTCAAGGCACTCCTGGGCGGCTCGACGACGACAGCCGACAGCCACCATGCGGCCCTAAGAAAATGGCCGAAAGCAATGTAACTACCTTGCGTTGAGGAAGACCTCACACACCACGCAGCCGAATCCATGCACATCCCTCGACAGCAAAGGTGGTAAAGAGGGGAAGACGGCAATCCACAAACCTACCGCCCATTCACGCGACAAGCCCAATATATGCCCCACTTGAAAACGCCTTACCTCAGCCTCCTGCCACCAAATCCGCAGACTCTCACTGGGGAAAGGCCCGGAAAAGCGATCCACTCATGAAAGCACAACAATACCGGTACCCACACCCGGATAATGAGCTCTGCGCAGCTCAACACTCGTACTCACCTCACGACCGGGTAATATGACCACACCGACCCCCAGACACTATGCTCTGTAGCGGGCCGTTGGGACCCAGCGGACCCTGGGCGACCTTCAGGGTATATCCCCATGTGCAAGAAGAGCATGCCCAGCAACAGCATCCACAACACGACCTGTCGGCAGCTCCAACTCCTCACGACGGAATACACGAAGGGCACAAGCCACAGAACTCACCGCAGACACCCCCACCAACAGACACTCTGGCGGCACTCACCGCTACACGGACACCTAAGTCAGTAAGGTCACACTCAAACTGGCAATACATAACGGCCGTCACCACCCTGACTTTTGCAAACGATGACCCAACGTGCCGAAATCTGCCTGGTGGTACTCTACTCTGCTTTACTTTATTTTGATTTAATCTACTTTACTTTATCTTATTTGACAGACCACCCTAGCTAAGCTATTTGTTTTCTAAAAACCGCTGTGCACATGTCTGTTATAAATATAAGCTCACTAACTACACACCCAGCTTCTGACCCTAAGTAACCTCGTAGTAAAGAGCTCCAGACTATGCGGTGGCCCCCCTTAATACAAGCAAAAGAATTCAACAAGTTTAAAAAGTAGAATGTCTAGAATTTACAAAAGGTTAAACGTTAATGTTAAGCATGGATAGCGAGCATAAGAGCACAATGACTAGTATGTGTTTCCATGTATAATGTCTAGAATGCGCAGGAAGCGTAAATGCACATTGCTTAGTAAGCGCTGGAGGTCACCTTGACAAAGATTAACTTGATGTACTCATGTTTTGTTATTACATACCCTCACTTTAAACACAAAAAGTTCCAGTGACACTGTATACCCCACTGTTACAAATGTTATTGGTGTTATAGGTGAGTGGAATGCCTTTGGGGTACCACAAGCATGTCTGTTAAACCTATATGCAAAAAAAAAAAAACAGAAAGAAACGTAGTTCTTGCACTACTATACCTTTCATATATATAGCATGATAAATTAGCATGATTAAATAACAAAAAATGTGCTGTTTAATCGCATGCCATATTGTCTTAATGTCTAAGATGAGCCTGCAGGCGCTGATGTGGCACTGCAAGACTAACTGTTACTTGTTCTTACGTGCACAAAGAAAAATAAAGAATTATAAAAAAAAAAAAGAAAAACTACCACAACAAGAGGACAGTCTTAAATTAGAGGGACAAAGGTTTACAAATAATATCATGAAGTACTACTTTACTGAGAGGGTAGTGGATGCATGGAATAGCCTTCCAGCTGAAGTGGTAGAGGTTAACACAGTAAAGGAGTTTAAGCATGCGTAGGATAGGCATAAGGCTATCCTAACTATAAGATAACACTAGGGACTAATGAAAGTATTTAGAAAATTGGGCAGACTAGATGGGCCGAATGGTTCTTATTTGCCGTCACATTCTATGTTTCTATGTTTCAATAATTGCTCTCTCTCATATCTACACGCTTCTTTAATTTGTAGGAATGTGCATGGGGAAAATATTCAGTTCGGCAATTCGGAACTTCGGCTCTCCAACACTTCGGAATTTCGGGACTTCGGATGTCACTTATAAGATAACTCCCTAATTCCCACGGTATTAGGGAAATATCTACCAAAAGGCTGAAAGACCTAAATTGGTCTTTCAGACAAATTAACTAATACTATACCGCGAGTAGGGGCATGTCTACTCATAACAACACTCTGATTGGTTGATTGAAAGTATTCTGTTTTGCAATGTGCCTGTTTTCAAGTGATTTGTGGCACTGGGTTAAGCTGCATGCAATTTTAGAGTAGCGCCATTCCACTCCATTACCACCTTTTGGTGTTTGCTAATTTGTTGTTTATTTTGGCAGACCTTGTTGTGGATCCAAATAATGATCTTTGTTATATTCAGAGGAAGCCCAAATTATTAATACAAGTCACTTGGAGAAGCGAGAATTAGACACCAGATACCTGTTGGTATTCAAAATAAGCCTCTGACGTTTTATTCATCAGCTGGGTTTTATACATTAAAAAGTAAGTGCTTACGTGCAAATACTCTTAGAACAGTAATAGGAAGGGAGTACAGATAAGGGATGAACGGCATGTACACATAACAAATAAGTTCCAAGGTAAGAAAGAACAAAAAGATTAGAGCAGAGACATCTTAGGTGGGGGCTCTCTGCTCCCGGAACTAGACATATATGGTCTTAAGTGTTGTGTTAAGCATCAAGCATCTTGAGTTCAAGTTAGCCAATTTTAATATAGGATATCATTATATGACACCTATAAGTTTGAGCCTTGGAATCAAGATAAATTCTATAACAAACTAGTATCTCAGCTAAATGTGAGCACCCAGCCGCTACAACGAACGCTCAGCACAATGACAGCTGTCAACAGTCATATCAAGCCAAATTGCTCGGGGTCTGCAAGTGTGTGGCTTTAACTCTAAAGCTCAAGGCCAACAATGTCAAGCCTACACAAGAGATTTCATCCCAGTAGATAAGTCCCTCATTCCCACTAAGGAGACTGTACTCCAGTGGTCACACCTCAAGCACTTGACAAACAAGCTACAGAAACTTCATGACTGTGAAGTCGGACTGCTGATTTGTTACGACTGCCCATCAGCACTGGCTCCCTTGGAGGTCATTACTGGCTATGAAAATGAACTCTTCACTCAAAGAACTGTGCTTGGCTGGAGCATTATAGGATCAACGAATCCACATCTTGATAGACAGGGTAGCCAGAACTTTATACACAAAGTTGCAGTGAAAGAAATACCACTGCCCCTGGTCACTGATGTGTTAAAGGCTTTAGAAATTGACTTTATTGAAAGAAATTATGAGGATAGGTACGTGTCCCAAGATGACGTTCGCTTTGTGCAGTTTCTCTCTGAAACCATAATGAAAAGGAATGATGGACACTATGAGATGCCATTACCCTTCAAAGATAAGTCAACCGGTACTACGAAACAATAAGAGGCTGGCCATTATTTGACTCCAACGTCTAAAGAAAAGGGTAAAGGCCAACAAACAGTACAATGAGCACTACACTGCATTCATGGTAGAAACGATCAGAGAAAGGGTGATGCGGAACCAGCCCCTTCATTGTCGGAAGGAGAAACAGTGTGGCACATCACAGGGTTTATCACCCTAAGAAACCAGACAAGTTAAGAGTTGTCTTTGATTGTTCAGCAAGGTTCCAAGGCATCTCCCTAAACAACACTTTACTGACAGGTCCTGACCTGATAAATTCCCAAGTTGGAGTTCTCTGTCGCTTCAGGAAGGAAGCAGTTGCCGTGATATGCGACATTGAAAAGATGTTCCATCAGTTCTATATCCCCCCTAAATGAGCAACTATTTAAGGTTCCTTTGGTGGGAGAGCGGTCAGTTGGAAACAGAACCCAAAGAGTACAGAATGGCAGTTCACCTTTTCAGTGCCAGCTCCTCTCCAGGTTGTGCCAACTTCGGCCTTCGTATCTTGCATGACAACACAAAGCAGATTACCCCTCACCATCAGACTTCATCAAAAATAACTTTTATGTCGACGATGGCCTAACTAGTGTTTCAACAGTCAGTGAAGCCACAGATCTGGTCATCAAAGTGTAAGAACTATGCAAAAATGCTGGCTTACGTCTGCATAAGTTCAACTCTAACAAAAGGGACGTTCTGTCTTGTGTAGCTCTGTCAGAAAGAGCAACAACCAGTGAGCCTCTCAAACTAAACTCAGACTCAACATCTGAAGGCCAAGTACTTGGCATTCAGTGATCAATCAAAAAACTATACTTTTTAGCTTCAGCGTTGATATAAAGGATCAACCCTCAACTCCTCGTGGTGTCCTTTCTCTACGACCCTCTAGGCTTTATAGCTCCCTTTACATTGGGTGGCAAGTGCATTCTCCAAGAGCTTTGCCGCAAGGGCATCAGTTGGGATGAAGCACTTCCTGAGAGCTTAGACCCACGGTGGGAGGCTTAGAAGAGTAGTCTGCAAGCCTTAAAGGAAATAAAGAAACCCAAATGCTACCATCCTTCAGACTTTGGTAACACAGTGAAGGTGTAACTACACAACTTTTCAAATGTCGCAATATAGGATATGGTGCATGTTCTTACCTTAGGTACAAGAATGACAGAGGTCAAGTCCATTGCAGCTTTGTAATGGCCAAAGCAAGAGTTGCGTAAAACAAAGATTGTGAGCATCCTAAGGCTGGAAATCTTAGCTGCAGTCACTGCAGCAAGGTTGAGTGTTATGTTAAAGGCAGAACATAAGATAGATATTGATGAAGAATTTTTCTGGACAGACTCCCAGGTAGTTTTGGCATACATCAACGATGAAGCAAGAAGATTTCACTTGTTTGTGGCCATTCGTGTTCAACCCATAAGAGAAACTGCAAATCCAATTCAGTGGCATTATGTGGATACAGCACAAAACCCAGCCGACCATGCCTCCAGGGGTTTTTGCGTAGCAGATATTTCTTCCTCAAGCTGGTTATCTGGGCCTAGTTTTCTATGGGAATCTGAAGTGCCCTCATTTCCAAATCCTTTAACACAGCTGATTGTAGGCGACCCTGAAGTTAAACTCCTTGCAACCCTTGCATCACAGGTCAGTGAGCAAACTGGTGTTCTGAATCATCTGATGCTGTTTGCAAACCCCACTGTGATCAGGGCGCAAATTTTACAGGAGCAAAAAATTAATTAAAAGAAGCTCTAAAGCAATGTGACACCAAGGCACTGGGAGCTTTCCGAGCTGATAAACATTATCTTCAATGCTCCCTCCGCAAGTCATACAGGTGGGGTCTGGGAGCGTCAAATTAGGACTATTCGTAATGTGCTAAGTGCCACAAACACTCAGTGTTATTATTATTATTACTGGTATTTATATAGCGCCAGCATATTCTGTAGTGCTTTACAATATTATCAAATATTTAACAATAAATGAGCAAATTACAAAAAATTAAAGGAACAATAGGTTGAAGAGGACCCTGCTCAAATGAGCTTACAGTAGACTGGACGATACTTCTCTTAGAACTGTTTTATGAAGCTATCTCCATTGTTAAAAGTCATCCTTTAACTGTTGATGGAATCAATGACCCCAAAGCACCCGAACCTCTAACTCCAAACCATCTCATTTTGATGAAATCTAAGATCACACTACCTCTACCTGGGAAGTTCATGAAGGAAGATGTATAGGCAGCTAAAAGGTGGCATAGAGTACAGTATCTAGCAGAGCAGTCGGTGGAAAAGGGAATATCTCATAAGTGTTTCCACAAGACAGAAAAAGCACTCCTCAGCGCAACCTGAAGATAAATGACATAGTCATAATCAGGGACAATATGTCTCCTAGATGCCAGTGGCAGTTAGAACGTGTGATTGAAACTACAATAGAAAAGGACGATTTTGTTCTTTGAGTCAAAGTGTTAGTAGGTGACCGAAAACTGACAGAATAAAAGGACTATGAATCAAAACCTTCAATAATTGAGCGCCCTATTCAAAAATTGGTAGTCCTCATAGAGAGTGAATAACTTATTTGGTATTTTTGTCAGGAGGCATTCGCCTTGGTTCCTTCCCCAGCTGCTTTTTCTATAATGTGACTATAGTGTTGCACAGTGCAGGCTTGAATTGGTGTCTTCGAGGTGAGGGCAAGGGTAGTGGCAGCAGAGGCATCACAGGTGCTGTGCGGGCTCTCAGCCTCACCGAGCTCGCACGATTGGTAGAACAAAGTCCAAGGTGTGCAAAAACTGGAAAGCTGTTTTAAACAAATGCTCACTGGACTTAATGCTTATCACCATACAAGATGTCAAAGAAAATTTACTTGAAATCCGTAAAAAAAATACAAACATTGGAGAATGAACAAACGATACTACCTAACTCACAGAAGGGTGTCAATGCAAAAAGGTAGACCAAAAAGATTTAGGAGGAAAATCATTAAGCCTAATATTGCCAATATTCATGTCACATCTGGAGAGTTAACATCAGGTGGGGAGGGACCCCAACCCTTCAGATCAGTGCATTTTTTAGACAAAGAGGAGTCACGGGAAACCACATGGCCACAAAGAATGGTGACAAGGAGCAGAATCAAAAATGGAAAAGATCTACCACTCGACGTGGACAGAAGGGACGGATTCACTGGACCCAAAGGGAAGCCACCATTCCGGAAATAGTCCCTGTATTTAACCTCTCAGATAGGGAACTTACTCAGAAGGAAATTGATGTATTGAGCAAAGGTCTATGTTTTGTACCGACAACGTCCCCAAATGTATATCAATGGAATGTTGAACTTTTTAAATTTGGTCGAACATTGAGACTCAAGGATTTTTTCAAGAAAGCTCGCACCCTAACAGATGGCTTGGATAATCAGGTATATACACATACTTTCAAGCATCCAAGTCAATTTGATCCACCACAGAATCAACTGGCCATTAAGTGCTTTCTATCAACAGTCACAAATGAAACTGACATCATCTTATCAAACCATAGGTCTAAACACTCCAATATGTCTAAGGAACAACATGCATTGATTCGTGATCTAGCTACTGATCCATCAATAGTAATACGACCGGTGGATAAGGGCGGGTAGATTGTGATTCTCAACTACACAGACTATTCTCGTGAAATATCCCAACAATTACAGAATCAAAAGACTTACCAATGGCTCGAGAAGAATCCCATGATCAAGATCTCTCAGAAAATTGAGGATACATTGGGACTTAAAGCAGGTTTTATGGATTTGAACCTGTTCCAATTTCTCTAGAGAAAACATCCACGGACACCTATCTTGTATACATTACCTAAGATTCACAAGAATAAAAAAAATAAAAAAACAGGACGCCCCATCGTATCAGCGATAGATGGCATTCTGGAACTGATTGCCAAGTATCTAGACCATCTTTTCAAAAACCGTCACAGCTATCCCTACATGTGTAAAGGACACTAGAGACTTATTAATGACCCTGGATAAGATGGTAGAGTTTAAAGGCATCCTGATAACCATGGATGTGAATAGCCTTTATACGATAATACCCCATGAAAAAGGCATTGAAGCCATGAGGAAGTTACTCATCTACTCACCACACTATGAGGGTCCCCCTGTTGAATTTGTAATGGAATTACTTGCATTGGTTTTTAAGATTTTTCTTCACATTCATAATTTTTTGAATTCTGACATGGTTCCCTCCAAGTTGGATTTGTGTTTGTTATGTTTGTTTAGGGCTAAGCAGGACTTCAGCTGGAGATAGGAGAAGATGAGGTGTGAAGGGAGGTTATATGGCAATTGTCCGGAAAAGTTCTTATGACACCCTCTTGGTATACTTGTGCTACAGTGGTGATTCCATATGCTATGCATGCCTTCGTGTTTGTGAGCAACCATTTGTGCCTTTGTGGTGTCCCACGTGAATAGAGCAAATTTGGTTGTGGGAAGTAGGTTGTGTGTGTCTGATCTGTGAGACTCAGGTGTCCAGAAGAGGGTGTGTAAATCTAAAGGTTTTGCCCAGAAGTTTTCGATGCGTAGCCATTGGGGTGAGTCTGGTTGTGATTACAATTGCGGTACTAGAATTAACGCTGCTGCTCTTTGGTATGCTAGGAGGTCTGGGAAGCCCAATCCTCCTGCAGCCTCTGTATCAATTTTATGGCTACTCTTGCTTTCTTATTCTGCCAGGTAAAACTAATCAGCAGTCTCATTAAGGTTTTCAGGTATCCCTGTGGTAACTGGATCTGAAGCAATTGATACAGATACTGCAACTTTGGTAATAAGGACATTTTGATAGCTGCTATGCGGCCCACCCAGGATAGGTATTTCCCCTCCCAAGATTGCAATGTGTGTTTGAAGGTATTGATTAGGTTCCCATAATTGGCTTTGAACAGATTGGTTGGGTTCTTGGTCAGTTTAATACCTAGAAATGTGAGAGTCTTCTCGCCAGTCCAGAGGAAAAACCTCCTTCAATTTGACTTTCTGCCTATTTGGTATGTTTATGCTCAGGGCTTGCGTTTTGGTAACATTGAGCATGTAGTATGACATTTGTCCATATTCGTCTATTTGTTTCATCAAATTAGGTAGTGATATGTGTGGCTGAGTTAGGAAAATGTCAGCAAAAAGGCTGAGTTTGTATTCTCGTGGACCTAAGGGCACCCCATGAGTGGATGGTTCTGAGCGTATCTAGATGAAAGTTGTTCAAACGCTAGGACATACAAGAGTGGGGAGAGAGGGCATCCCTGGCGTGAACCATTCACTATGTCAAACTGTTTGGAGCAGAAACCTGCTGACATGACTCGGGCTGAGGGGTAGCTATAGATGGCTTTTACAGTATTTATGAATTGAGTGGGAAATTGTAACTTTTGCAACACCGCTCCCAGGAATGCCCAATTTAGTCTGTCGAAGACCTTATCTGCATCTAGCGACATCAGAAGACCTCCGACACCTGTCCTACAGACACTATTCAACAGATCCAACACCTTGGTTGTATTGTCAGCCCCCTGCCTTCCTGATATGAACCCTACCTGATCATCGTGGATCATGGACGGTAGTATGGAGCTCAGCTGCCTGGCGTAAATCTTGGCATATAGCTTTGCATCCGTGTTCAGTAGTGAGATCGGCCGAAAGTTGGGGCAATGGGTCGGTGGTTTGCCGGGTTTTGGGAGCATAATAACATGTGCTAGCAGGAGTTCCTTGGGCAAAGAGCATTCTTGCGTGGCTGAGTTAAACAGGGACGCTAACGGGGGGGCAAGCACTGATTTGAATTTATTATTGTAAGAAAACCCAGCATTTCCTAACCTTTTTCGAACAATATTTCGCCTATTTCCCCAGGTTTTGTTTATTTGTTCGGTAGTTTCAAAACTACCGAACCACCGACCACACTTCTGGATCATTATCACCAAAGGGAATCATCAATTAAGCACTCTCCCTGTGTGGCTGTCGTTCGTATAGCCGTACGCCACGTGCAAGAGAAAACAGCGCAATTTTGTTCACACGAAAGGAGGCAGTGGGACTTGCTAGTCGAGTGTCTGGAACTAAAATCGGACACTCAACTTCCCGAACACCGGTCAAACTATACGAACACCTGCTTCCTTTTCCCGAACAGCTAGGAGAGCACTGTTCGGTAGTTTGGTTCCCACGAACCAACAATTGCTACTATGAATCAGAGGGTTCCGTTCGTGCATTAGTTTGGTTTTGTGATTTGTCGAAATAGACCGACCGCACAGCCTAAACTCATGGAACTGTTTTTGGATATGTTGGTCACCTAGGTCAGGGCTATCAGGGGATATGGCATTTATGGGGATCCTGTATGTTTTGGGTACTTTCTAAGTTTTGGGAAAATTATGGGTTTTTTTTGCCTGGAGATAATTAAGTTATTACTCTATCTGACTCCATTATCTCCAGGTAGAGAGGAGGGAATTACTTGTTTGTATTGGAAGTGTCACTGTTTATCACTACACTGTTATTGGCTGTAAAACGTTGTGTCCCTGTTCCCCACAAGGTCCACAGGGGACTGCCCCTTGCATGGGGAATTGTATAAAAGCCAATGTGGCACCAATAACGCTTCAGTCTTGTTACACCCTTCGTCAAGTTTTGGCTGATGTTTGGATACCTGTTTACTGCATTGGGAGAATTTGCTGGGAAAGCTGTATCTGATCTGGAGAAAGAGACGAATGGAAACCCGAACTGCAAGCTATAATCACTCATGCTCTAAGCAATTCGGGTGGAAACAGACAAATCGATAGCTACCACATCAGGGTTCGTTACAATTGGTGGCAAGCGGAGGGATTCATATCCAGAATGGAAGTCCCGAACCAGAGAAAAAAGTGAATGGCTCAGCAGTATGAGTTACTAAAGCGAACTACGTTAAAAGACCTGCTGGAAGCTCGAGGCATAGTGGCAACTAATAAGAAGAAAGCCACACTAATTGCAATTGGAAGGAGAGCAACCAGAGGAAAACGAGTTCCAGAAGGAGGTGAGATGGATGATAATTTTATTGTTGCCCAATCCATCACAAGAGGCAGTGGTACAAATTGTAACACATGCCAAAGACTCACAGATAACTCGGGAATCAAGAGCGGCCACTTGAATGGCGGCCACTTCGACTGTTGTGGAGTTCGGAAAAAAACAATGTTTAAAGTCCCAGTAGGCACAATTAGGGTCTCTCAGCCAAAATAAATTAAAGGGGCCGTAGTCACAGGGCAAAAGGCTGGCCATTAATCCTCTCGAAAAACCAGTGGCGAAGTTGCTTTCATCACAACGACCATACCTCCACGGAAGTCAGGGACTTGGTAAGAGACCGCAAACCCAAGACCGTGGAGGAGGCCGCCAAACTGGCAGAAGAGTATCAGGATGGCAGACATATGGAACCCAGTGAAGGGCGACCTGCTCCCAGGCCCTCCTACCAGGTATCACCTACCCCTCCACCTACTAGACCCGCTCCTTATAACCCTACCCCAATCCCCAAAGTCGTGGTACTATTTCATGCCACCTTTGCAAGCATGAACAATATTGCCTTAACAGGAACCGGGGAGTTTGGGAAAGGTCTGCACCACAACCCAGCCGGGCGGCGGCCTATTGTTGTCAGCAGGAGAGTTCCCCTATCCCAGAGCACAGTGAGGAGCAGTGGACCACTCTGCACGAAGCGAATCCGGTGCAAGCAGCAGGCCACAACCGCAATCATCATCATCGGTGGGTCACCGTTGACTGGATGTCCAGAGACACGGGGTCCACTCCCACCCTAATCCAGCCACACAAAGTTCAGTTTCAGGCTCGCACTAACAAAACCGTAGCTGTGAGAGTTGCAGGCGGAATCATCCACAAACTCCCCATGGCCAGAATACACATCAACTGGGGCTCGGGAGATAAATACCTGGATGTAGGCATTATGAAGGACCTTCCCGCTGAGGTGTTATTAGGAAACGATGTGGGTTGCCTTACGTCCCAGCTCACACACAATCCAGCAGCAGAGTCCTATCCAGTGACCACCAGGGCACAAGCATGCAGAGGGGAACCCGCGCACTCCGAGGAATCTCAGGTAGGACCCTGGGTCCCTTCAACCCCCACTGATCCCATCCCATTCTGGGACACCCCCTTAGTTTTTGGACAGGAACAGAAGGCCAATCCCACGTTAGAAGGAGGCAGATAAACCCCAAAAGGATAAGAGTCAGGAGAAATTCGAATGGGACAAAAGACTCTTATACTGGGGGAGTGGGGCAATGCAAATAGAAAAAAGACAGCTGGTAGTACCCTGAAAATATAGGGCTGAGTTACTCAAGCTTAGCCATGATATTCCCCTGGCAGGTCATTTAGGGGTTACTAAAACTAAGGATAGGTTAACTCAGACCTTTTTCTGGCCTGGTATATCACAGGATCTAAAGAATTATTGCAGGACATGTGATGTGTGTCAAAGTACGAGGAGGAGAGGGGATCGCCAGAGAGCCAAACTGCACCCCCTACCAATCTATGAGGAACAATTTCACAAGGTGGCCATAGATCAGTAAACTCAGGAAAGTGCTACATCCTCACGGTAGTAGACTATGCTACTAGATATCCTGAGGCGGTAGCCCTTTCCAATATAGAGGCAGAGACAATAGCTGAAGCCTTAGTGAAAATCTTTAGGCTTCCCCAGGGAGATGTTGTCTGACCGGTGGACTCGGTTCACCACAATTGTGACCCAACAATTATGGCAAAGTTGCGGCGTGAAACCCTGGTTCAGCTCTCCCTGCCATCCCCAGACGAACGGACTATGTGAGCATTTTAACGGCACGCTTAAGCAGATGCTTAGAACATTCACAGTGTCCTATTTGCACTGGGAGAGGTTCCTTCCCCACCTCCTGTTTGCCTACCGAGAAGTTCCCCAGGCATCTACAGGGTTCTCCCCCTTCAATCTCCTTTATGGGAGAAAAGTCCAGGGACCCCTAGACCCCATACGGGAGCACTGGGAGGGCAACACAGGAGAGGGGGGAGTCCCCATTTTACAGTATGTTCTGGAGTTTATGGACCACTTGCAGATCCTCACTGAATCTGTTCGGGAGAACCTGCAGGTGGCCCAGAAGTGCCAGAAGAGATGGTATGATAGGGGTGCCCAAGATAGGGTCCTGGAAATAGGACAGCGAGTAATGGCTCTGAAGCCCTCTAAGAAAGACAAGCTTTAGGCCGCCTGGCAGGGACCGTTCAAGGTGGTGGAGAGAATTAGCGACACCACTTATATAGTCAGCAAATGTTCAGATGAAGGAATCCGGAGAGCCTTTCATGTGAACATGGTGAAGCCTTATTTTGAGCGTGTAGGGGATATAACGGCCATATGTGCCCCTGCTTTTGAGGATAGTGAGGGCCTCCCCCTACCAGACTTACCCGCCTCCAGCCCCAGCACGATAGAGCAAGTGCAGCTAGGCAAGACGTTAAACCCCCACAAGGCCTCTCAGCTGCTCCAGGGATATAGGGACATGTTTTCTGCCCTACCCGGGTACACCTCTGCTGCTGTCCACGGAGTTGAGACCCAGAGTGAAACCCCGCTCCGGCAACAATCCTACCGTATCCCTGCGGCAGTTAGTTAACATGTTGGCAGAACTCCAAGAGATGCTTCAGTTAGGAGTTATAGAGCCCTCGCAGAGTCCTTTGGGCTTTGCCGGTAGTGCTGGTACCCAAGCGAGACGGCACGAATCGCTTCTGTATTGACTACCTGACGCTCAATTACAGGACCATAACTGACGCCTACCCTGTGCCTAGGACAGACGAGCTCCTGGATAAGATGGCGGGGGAATTACCTCACTACCCTGGATTTGTGCAAAGAATATTGGCAAATCCCCCTGGAGCCTGCGGCCATCCCTAAGTCAGCATTCATAACCCCATTCGGGCTATACCAGTTTAAGGTTATGCCCTTTGGAATGAAGAATGCCCCGGCTACTTTTCAGAGGATGGCTGACTGGCTCCTGGAGGGATTTCAGGACTTTACATGTGCTTATTTAGATGATATCACCATCTACAGTCGCACATGGGAGTCCCATCTGGAGCATGTATCCAGGGTATTAGAGAGAATTCAGGAGGCTGGGCTTACCCTGAAGCCTGACAAATGCCACGTAGGCATGGCCAAGGTTCAGTATCTCGGGCATAGGGTAGGGTCAGGCAAATTAGCGGCCTGAGCCTGCCAAGGTAGAGGCCATCGCTAATTGGCCGCAACCCCGTACCAATACCCAGGTGCTAGCCTTTTTAGGAACCACATGTCATTACCGCAAGTTTTTTCTATAGTATAGCGCTGTAGCGGATGGCACTGGGCTGTCCTGCAAATGTCCTTGAAATAATTGCATTCGTGTGATCTGCTAGTTTTCTATGTGTTTTAAAGCCTTGTATTCTTTTGATTGTTCGGTAGTTTCATTCCCTTAGTTTATTCGAATGAAACTACCGAACAACCAGACCTCCCCTGTGTAAAGTGTGTCCTCAATTACCCGTTGCAACATTGTTGCGAACGGGTAATTGACTAGGAAGTAGCCGTCCTTTGTTCTCGGGGGTGGCCGCCATTCGACAAACGAACACGTGGCGGCGGCCATTTTAAAACTCCCGAACAGCGGTGTTTTGCCGTCGAGTGTCTGGAACTAAAATCGGACACTCGAGTAGGCGAACACCGCTGAGACCTCCACAGCCCTGGTCCGTCCGGTTCCAAACTACCGAACGGCCCCTCGTTCGGTAGATAGAAAATACCGAACGAGGGGATTCAGGCGAACCCTCCCTAGCCTCTATAGCTAGAGGTTTTCGTGTATTTTATTCCCTTATGCCAGGACCGACCGCAGGGCCCATTCACATGGAACCGGATTCGGCTATCTCTGTTCGTGCGGTCGGTCACTTTATTCCCTCCATACTTTTCCCGAACCCCTGGTCTGATCTGGGTGATTTTTGGATATGTTGGTCACCCAGATCAGGGCTACCAGGGGATGTATGATTTAAAGGGGTACCCCTACGTTTAGGGGTACATCCAGAAACGGGGGGAATTGGTGTGCTGGATAAGGGGATTATGATGCTGGCTGAGGGGAGGGGATGTGTGGGAGGTTACCAGGACAGGATTGGCTACTGTAATAATTACTGTACATCCCTCCCTTGCATGGGAGCATGCTTTATAAGGATACTGTGATTAAAGGCTTGTCAGTTATGCTCCTGAAACTGTGTGTCGTCCAGTTATTGGGATTGCTGTGGGGATATTGCCGTTGTTTTACCTGCTGGAAACTTTGCCTATGGATTTATTATTTACTTGTTCCTGAGCCTCACTTGGATTATAAGCGGAGATAACCTGGGGAATATTGCATCTCCGCTACAAGCGCCCTCCCAAAACCCTTACTGATTTGACAAAGAAGTCAGGTAGCTTGGTCCCCTGAGTGCGCGGACGCTTTTCAGAAACGTAAAATGGCGCTTAGCGAGGCACCTGTGTTGGCCGCTCCAGACTTTAAAAAGCTATTTCTTGTGCACACAGATGCCTCCATGTTTGGGCTGGGAGCCGTGCTAAGCCAAGTGGGGGACGATAGAATGGAGCACCCGGTGGCGTATCTCAGCCGGAAACTATTTCCCCGAGAGGTTAGTTACGCCACCATGGAAAAAGAATGCCTAGCTCTTGTGTGGGCACTAAAGCAGCTCCAACCTTATTTGTATGGCCGCCCCTTCACCTTAATGACCGACCACAACCCCCCAGTTTGCCTGAACCAGGTGGCGGAAGACAGTCCTCGATTATTGAGCTGGAGCCTGGCCTTTCAACCGTACAATTTCACCATGCAGTACAGGCCAGGCAAACAGAATGGAAATGCTGATGGTTTATCTCGCCAAACCGAACTGGAACTTTAAAATTGCTTTTCCTGGACATACCTAAGCCAACCCGGCAGGGTCTAGGCGGGTATGCTGACCCATGGAATAAGGGGGAGCAGTGTAAGAAAACCCAGCATTTCCTAACCTTTTTCGAACAATATTTAGCCTATTTCCCCAGTTTTAGTTTATTTGTTCGGTAGTTTCAAAACTACAGAACCACCAACTACCCTTCTGGCTCATTATCACCAGAGGAAATCATCAATTAAGCGCTCTCCCTGTGTGGCCGCCGTTCGTATAGCTGAACGACACATGCAAGAGAAAACGGCGGCCATCTTGTTCACACGAAAGGAGGCAGCGGGACTTGGTTGTTGAGTGTCTGGAACTAAAATCTGACACTTGACTTCCCGAACACCGGTCAAACTATACAAACACCTGCTTCCTTTTCCCGAACAGCTAGGAGAGCGCTGTTTAGTAGTTTGGTTCCCACGAACCAGGGGAACAATCGCTACTATGAGCCAGGGGCTTCCGTTCGTGCATTAGTTCGGTTTTGTGATTTTTTCGAAATAGACCGACCGCACAACCTAAACTCATGGAACTGTTTCTGGGCAGGAGCCTCGTGTGCGGTCAGTCCAAATGGGACTATCATGAAATTTGAAAACCCCTGAACGGTCAGTGGGCATCGCTGTTTGGCAATTTGAATACTGAGTTCGTTAGGTTGAGGCCTGGGTGATTCAGTCATTTGCGTTACAATTATTTGCTTTAAAGCAGTGCCCCTACTCTATTTCTGCTAGGCATAAACCTGACACAGAACAGTATTTAGCCCATTCTGTCCCCAGTGGGAACCCTTGTACTGTGGGGGGTGATCTGTAGCTACCTACTTGGGGCATATATTCAATCATTGGAGGCTATGGTAGAAAGCATTAACAGCATAAATATAGGTAGAACATATTAAATTATAAATCTCAGATCTGCTCAATCAAACAGTGGTAGAAAACAATACTGTGCATTAATACTCAGACCATGGGAGCTTCCGCATGTTGGTATGTCAGCTTTAGTGGGTAAACCATCCGGCTTAGTCCTCAGGTTCTTGCCTTCTTCCATTCCGGCTGCAGTCGGGGCACTTGCTTGTCCCCTCTTTGTTGTAGCCCATCTTTGATGTAGCCCACAGTAGTCAGAGTTCTGTTTTTGTGGAAAAACAGGCGGACCGGGTGCCCCCATCTGTAAGGAATGTTCTGTGCTCAGAGGGTGTCCATCATGTCTTTGTATTCCCATCTCTTCTGTAGTGTGAGTGCAGAAAGGTTGGTGAAAAGCTGTATGGAGCGTTATTTGTCAGGTATATCTTTTCGTTGTCTAGAGGTTTCATCTAATTACATCTTTGGCATGAAAGTAGTGTAGGTGGGTTAATATATCCCTCGCAGTCTCCTCCGGCAGGAATTTCAGTTTTGCAACCCTGTGAGCACAGTCCATCAGCAAATTTTTGGTTAGAAAGTCCTGGACTAGAGTTTTGAAGTATCCCATCAGGAATTCCATGATATAAGCTTGCTGTATATTTTCCGGTATACCTCGCAGCCTAATATTGTGTCTGCGGGATCTGTCTTCAGGATCCATCAGCTTTACTTGGTAGCTACCACAGGCGAGGGGCTGTTGCCGAAGAAATGCACCTTTATCCGGTAATCTACTACATCCTTGTTGACATTGTTGTCTTTGTGCCAGAGTAACCTGAGGTAGCTGCTATCGTCTTTTTTGACAATAAAACAGTGGAACATTTGCTGGATGTTGGCCATTTCTGCAAACAGGCTCATGTCTGAAGTGGATTAGAACCTCTATGAGGCTGTTGTTTAGCTTAGGCCCAATAAGATGTTGGTTGTTGAGAGAAACACCTTACTGTTGAGAGCTGGAATCGATTGCTCCGACCATTCAGAATGGCACACACTATAAGAGACATTTCTGGATGACCTTAAGGGTATACATTACACCCCCTACTCTTCTCCCCACCCCCAATTTCCCCCATTACTAATAATAGACACACTACTACTGTCATAGCACTTTTACCTCTGGCCCAGTAGCTACTTGACAATGAGTATTGTGAGGGAATATATCTTGATTCCAGTGTTCAGTGTAATTAAACTAAAGCCTACATCTGATGGTTTTTATATGTAATGAACCTTTTCTCTGTGAAATGCTGTATACGTGTCAGCATAAGTCGCGTTTTCTGTGTATTCTAGCCCCCAGCGGAGCACTTATTTTGAGAAACTGTACATTGTGTGACTGCTCGCTAATTTTATCCGTAACCACATATTGTTTTGTAAACTAATTTTATATCTTATGAAATATGTAGTCACATAAACTAATTTTATCTTTTGACTTTCCTATCTTTAACTACATTATTTATTTTTAAACCTTTAAGCTAAGCTGTAACAATATTGACTCGGGATCTGACGGTCAAAAATACGCAGACACCAGTGTACTGGCGGGCTTTCGCTCTCAGATCTACGTCCCTGTCAGTCTTTCTGGGTAAGAAGTATCTTAAAAATGTCAGATCCAAAGAACTTGTTTTCTGTGGTATTATGATTATATTCAGGTGGATGTTGTCATGTCTTGTTAAAGGAATCTTGAGATAGTGGAATATATCTGTGGGTTTCAAGTTATTTTTATTGTTTGCCTTGTCATTTGTTAACATTACTGGCGGATCTTGTGCCCTCTCACGTTTAACTATGACTATGTTTAACAAATCAGACCTGATCCTAGGCCAAGACCCGCCAAAAAGGGCCGGTAGAAATACGAGAAATACCCAGGATTCCCTCTCCCCAGACTGTGACTCCAGCGTCCGCCTATTATCTAAATCTGAATATGTAGCTCTAGCCATTTCCCTTTTTGGGGTTCCTGGCCTTGCTTCACGCAATACTAGAACTATTAATGCATTGGCCTGTTCCCTAGCAAAGGGTCTGAATGCCACACTCTCAGGCCTTAGAAGAACTCCTAATGGATACCCAGGCAAATAAGAAAGCAATCCTTGAAATTAGAGCAGCCATTGACTACCTATTAATGAAACATGCGTTGGGATGTGAGGTTGTCAAAGGAATGTGCTGTTTTAACCTGTCTGATCATGGAACTATGATCCATGAACACATACAGAACTTAAACGATCTAGTGAGGGATATCAAACAAGACACCGGGCGCCTATTCCCCTTGTATAACAGAGGATACTCCTCTGATGACCTTTGGTTTGTCCTGTCTAAGGGAACAGTGGTGAAGAAATAACACAAGTCTCATAGGTGTGGCTAGCGCACCTGGATATACCTTAGACGGATGAACCTTGGATCAAAAGAGGGGATTGTGAGGGAATATATCTTGATTCCAATGTTTAGTGTAATTAAATTAAGGCCTATATCTGGTGCTCTTTATGGTGCGTTCTCTGTGTATTCTAGACACTTATTTTGAGAAACTGTACACTGTGTGACTGTTTGCTAGCTAATTTTATCTGCGGCCTTCCTATCTTATGAAATATGTAACCACATATTGTTTTGTAAACTAATTTTATATTTTATGAAATATGTAGCCACATTAACTAATTTTATCTTTGGACTTTCCTATCTTTAACTATATTATTTATTTTTACACCTTTAAGGTAAGCTGCAACAATATTGTGTATAAATACACCCTACTTTGAATAAACGAACGGAAGTAATTCTGGACTAACAACCATTTGTGTCGTGTGTTAATTACTTCTCCAGGGGCCTGATATAATTTGGGTTCCCCTGAATATAAGTATTGGATCCTTTGTCCATATCAGTATGGTGAACCAGAGGAATTAGAGGAGGAAAGTGTGAGTAGGGCGGGCAGCTGCCCAATATTTTCTCTGACACCTAGTGTGCACTCGCCTTCTGCATTTTATCCACCTCTCCAAGTCCATCTGTATCATCTGCTCTATATGCATCAACAGTCTCATCCAAAGGACACAGTTGAGACATCAGCTGCACCTGCTACAACTGGCACAAGTAGTTTACCCACTGTCAATGTGACCAGATCTACCACTATTAGCATTAGTCAATCAAGTGCTAGTGTACAGGCTACACAGAAAACTTCTACTGCCACCAATGCAAATGCACTGTATTGTGCAAACAAAGCAAAGTTTGGGATCACTTTGAGTACCTTCAAGAAGTACAACTTACAAAGTGCAAATTGTGTAGTGAGAAAGTGAGTATGGGGTGTGAGTGAAGGGTCATTTCACTTGTGCCGGCATGAAGCAACATCTGTAGAGTTATCACAAGTCTTACTGAGCAAAGAAACGGAACAAGATAGTGCTAGGGCAGGCAGCAGGTTCACTTGTGCGGTATCTGATTTTGTGTAGTTGTCACAACTTACAGCAATGCCCTACCTCCTCCACTACTACTCATACCAACCTTAGGCAGAGTATTGGGGATGGTGAGTTTAGTAACAGTAGTCCACAGATGAAGGTTTGATAAGAAGAGTTGCACCACTCATTATCCAGTGAATTAAAAAAGAAAAGAATAAAAGCAAAACAATGGAAACAAATGAAAAGGTTCCTCTTGCATAGATGCTACTGTCAGTGTCACTTAAACCCATTTTGATTTAAAATTGTTTTATTGGTTTGTGATTTATTTATTTAATTTCTAGTAAAAGACAGATTATTTGAGTTCTTCCGTGCCACTGCTTATGCCAGTGCTTATGAAATAGCAAAGCTTCTTAACTCAGACATAAGAACAATATTTGGCTCCAATTTACTTCACAAGTGAAACCTGCTTACACTGATTGTAGCACTTCCTATTTTTATAATCCTGATAAATAATAATGACATTTTGTCAACTAAGAATTAACATTGCAAAAATAACTGATATTGCAAAGCCATTATACCAGACACTGTAGCCATTTTTGCCTATTAGCACAGTCATAGGCAGCATTTTTCTTGCTATTCTGGCTGCCCGAATAATTCTTTTTCAGTACTAAAATTCAGCTGAGCCGAATATCAACATGAACTAAATCCTGCTGATACGATTTTTTAAAATATTATTTTTGTGCAGAAGCATGTTGGAAGATCCAGAAATTTTTACCAAGAAAAAAAATAATTAAGGTTGTTCAGGAAAAGTTAAAAGTGGCACTTCATATACCATAGATGATTCTTTTGTCTATTTAGATTGAACGTAATGGTTTAATGTGTGCAGTGAATTAGTTAATCCTTCTAAGCAGACACTGGCTTCTTTCATACTTCATCTGCTGGCAAAGCCTGTATTTCTTTGAACAATCCTTCCCCTAGGACTGAACATCCATCCCGCTGAGGCCTAGAGCTATTGCTTTGTGTGCTGGTCTCTGACAAACTTCTCCCATTACACAATATATACAGGATGAGGTGTTTTTATATAGCCTGGTTGTGATTACACTGTATTCAGCTTGTCACTGTCTGAGAGTTTACAGGATTAATTTAATTTTCTTTCTAAATTATAATGATGATGCTGAATCTCAACTATAATCAGATTGTGAAATGAGTGCTTATGATATTGTTGGAAAATATGCAACTAAAAAAGATGTGAAAACATGATTTGTTAATATCCTGTAAAATAGCTTACATGAAAGAGACTATAGGCTGTAAAATAACAGTGAAGGGTTGTATGTACCCAATGTTTGGATAGCTAGATAACATAATGCTAGCTGTCTACCTGTGGATAATTAAAGGAATTACACGTTTTATTATTTAATAATTGTACTGGAAAATTAGTTGATTTGAAGACTTTTTTCAGTTCAGCTAGTTTGTTCTCAAATATGCCGCTCCCTTGCTAATTCTCTGTAATACACAATTTAGTGAACACATATCTCACATTTTAAATTACATTCTAAGGTTAATATAGTCTGTTTAACCAGTGAGTCCTCTTTAACCCCTTAAGGACTGGACTGTTTTTGCGATGTTGTACATTTGCGACCAGGCATATTTTTACACTTTTGTGGTGTTTGTGTTTGGCTGGAATTTTCCGCTCTCTCATTTACTGTTCCCATACAAATTATATATTGTTTTTTTCAGGACAAAAGGGGCTTTCTTTACATACCATTATTTATATAATCTCATGTATTTTAATTTAAAAAAATAAAAAAATATGATGAAAAATTTAAAAAAATACATGTTTTTTGACTTTTACTTGAAAAATCTTTTACTCATCTACAAAAGCGAATTAAAAAAACTGCTAAATAGATTCAAAATTTTGTCCTGAGTTTAAAAATACCCCGTGTTTACATGCTTTTTTGCATGTTATAGGGCTATAGGTACAAGTAGAATATTGCGGTTTCAAAACATAATTTTTTTAAATTTATCAATAGTGACATTGTAACACTATTATCTGTCATAAATCTCTGAATAACACCCCACATGTACATATTTTTTTTAAAGTAGACAACCCAGGGTATTCAATATGGGGTATGTCCAGTCTTTTTTAGTAGCCACTTAGTCGAAAACACTGGCCAAAGTAAGCATTCATATTTGTTTGTGTGTGAAAAAAGTAAAAAAACTAAATTGAACGCTAATTTTGGCCAGTGTTTGTGACCAAGTGGTTACTAAAAAAGACTGGACATACCCCATTTGCAATACCTTGGGTTGTCTTTTGCAAATGGTATGCCATCATGGGGGTAATTCTCATTCCTGGGCTACCATACGCTCTCAAAGGCAACGTAACCAACCTGGCCATTTTCAATGTAAAAATGATTTGACCCATATATTTGACCTTGTAACTTTCAAAAATACTATAAAACCTGTACATGGGGGGTACTGTTTTACTCAGGAGACTTTGCTGAACACAAATATTAGTGTTTAAAAACTGGAAAACGTATCACAACAATTATATCATCAGTAAAAGTGCTGTTTGTGTGTGAAAAATGCAAAAAAAGTCACTTTCACTGACAATATCATCGCTGTGATATGTTTTACTGTTTTGAATCACTAATATTTGTGTTCAGCGAAGTCTCCCGAGTAAAACAGTACCCCCCATGTACAGGTTTTAGGGTGTCGTAGAACGTTACAGGGTAAAATACAGTGCTAGCAAATTCAATTCTCTGGAATTTCGGCCTGGGTTGGCAGGCAGGTCCCTTAAATTGCAATCAATAAAATTACTGAATTATGTAAAACTATTACATAAATACGCACGTAGAATTTAAATATATATGCATATTTATATATCTGAAGTCTACGTGTATATTTATATAATTATTTATGTAATTTTGTATATGGACATATGTATATTTCTTATTATTTTTATTTATTTTTATATACATAGATATATATACAAATTCATTCTAAGTGTATTTTGATATAAATATATATATATTAATTTTAAAATACAGTTAGAATAAAATTTCATATAGCTATATAATTTTTTTTAAATTTTTTATTATTATTTAAAAAAATTTTTATTTAATTTAAATTACTTATTATTTATATTTTATAATAATATATATATACAATATATATAGTTATTATATATATTATATATATATGTGTGTAATTTAATTATAAGTGTATTTTTATATTAATATAAGTACATACCGTATATACTCGAGTATAAGCCGAGTTTTTGGGCACATTTTTTGTGCTGAAAAACCCCAACTCGGCTTATACTCGAGTCAGTGTCTGTATTATGGCAATTTACATTAATTTACATTGCCATAATACAGACTGGGGGATGGCAGAGCTGTTACTTACCTCTCCTGCAGCTCCTGCCAGCTCTCTCCTCCTCCGCGCCGGTCCGGTCAGCACCTCGGTCAGCTCCCAGTGTAAGTCTCGCGAGAGCCGCGGGGTCATAGTGCGGCTCTCGCGAGACTTACAGTGTGAGCTGAGAGAAGAGCTGCACGGACCGGCGCGGAGGAGGAGAGAGCTGACAGGAGCTGCAGGAGAGGTAAGTAACAGCTCTGCCAGCCTCCCTCCTCCCCCCACTGAACTGCCAATGCCA